TAAATATAGTCAGTTTATTTTTTCAGTATTTTCTTATAAAATATCCTATTGAAAAAACAATAAATACCAAAAGTTACGAGTAATTTTATTTTTCCTGTGTTAAACTCAATAAATCATTTGTTTTGAACGGTATTAAGATAAGTTTGTTAATCTACGAGAGCAGATAGGGGAGGGGCGGGTGTTTCTGCAAGATTTGCGCGGACCTTAGGTAAGGATGAGTTAAGTGTGCGTGCAGTTAATGAAGATAGAAGGTCATTTGTTAACGATAAATGTGTTGCTAACGACTTCAGCTCAATCGACTAAAAGTCGACTAGCCGAAATTAGTCGATTTTGAAAAGTGGATTAGGCGATTTAATCGACTAGGGATTTCCTACTATTATAGATTAAAGTTGATTTAGTTGAGTCATAGTATTAAAATCCTTATTAGTGCAGTCAACTGTTGCAAACTATGCGCATTTTAGGGTAAAAGCATAAATCTTGGTGGACATGTTAATAGGGTGGAAACATTTTAAGACTCAGAACCAATTACCATAATAAGGAATAAAAAAAGGAAACAAACACATGTGCTTAGTAAAAAAACTTATTTTTCAAAATATAACAATGTATATACAAATCGAAAGCTCAATAAAAATTAAGCATAAAATCCAAAAAAAATTAACTTATAACAAGTTATAAGGCTTTAAAACGTTATTAACTCAGAGGGTAAAAGTTGCATTCAACAACCCACTTTAAACGTTAATTCGTATTATTCTAAAACTCAGTTTAAAACGTTAAAACAAACGTATTATTCTAAAACCCAGTTTAAAACATTATTAACTCAGAGGGTAAAGGTTGCATTTTACAACCCAGTTTGTAGCAAAAAAACCCAGTATTGCGTGCAAAAATAATTTACTATTATTTTTAAAGAAAAATGGAAACTTAAAAAATTTTTAAATGTAAAACATAAAATTATTATTTTTTCTTTAGTCTTCAGAACTTACTGCTTGGAAATCATACAAAAATTGAATAATCCCTAATATGAAAAATTTGAAAGCATTGGCGAGTCACCAATTAGAATATTTTTTGATAATGTAGATAAAATTTTTTTGATGGATTATTTATTCAAGTAAAACAAGAACTACTAAACCAACTAGAGTGCAAGAGAAAAGATGATGGTGTCGAACATTTGTTCAATAATTTAACTACCAGTTAATAGGGTTTCTTTATGAACAACTATCAAAATGTTTTTTCTATAAAAGCTCCGACGGTGCACTTTATTGGGTTTTAACATTTGAGTTCGAAAAACGTATAAGAAAGTGCACGACTATCAATGAAGATAGTACTTTGTTAGGTAAGATTAGTGTTGATGACCTGATAGCCTCAGATTCTATATAGCAATCTATTTGTCAGCTCCATTAATAAAATAGCCTATCAAAGCATCTTTTATTTTTTTAAGCATAAACTTAATTAAAATGTCAGCTGTAAAAAGGTTACAACCGTTGCATTTATGGAAGCTAGACTTGTAATAGTCTTGGACAAAGCTGTTACTTCATCATATGACTATAAAGTTATCTTAGACAGGATAAATAATATTTAATGATATCGATCAAGCATTAACAGAAAGGTGCAGTCTTGCAGTTCAATACTAAAGACAGTTTTTTTTCTAAAATAAGCCTTAATATATTTTAATAAGATATAATTCTTGGTAGAAGATCGTCTAAATAATAATACCACTTTGCGTACCTTTTTATTGAATGGGCTTTAATGAACTTCAGCTACTTCAATTTGAGGTTTTCTATTTTTGTGATTTTTATCCAGTAAGTTTTGTTTATAGATAAATTGCAGTCCTAAATATTTTCTTCAATTTCTGTCTTATTTGTAGCAAATGCTCTTTTTTTTATATAGAACATCAATTACAGCGAGCCGTGGGCAAAGCATAACTGTTGATTAGCAATCAAAAACCTTTCAACTTTTTTTTATAACATTAGATTTGTCGGTCATTATAGTCACAATGTCATTGTGTAAATCGAGACAAAAATTTTTAAGTTTTTTTTCTAATAGCTGGTATTAGTTTCATGATAAAAGTTTTCTGCTGGAATTAAACTTGTTCGTCATAGCGAAAAATTCGCTTTGTGCGAATATCATATAAATATTTCGTCGTATGGAAAACGGCCTTAATACAACGCGTTAATAAACGCGTTGAGTGGTTGCTAAATTTAGCAACCACTCGGTGTAGTTAAGGCAATTTTAAAATATTATTGCGTCTGTATAATACTTTATTGACTTGGATATATTTCCGTTAAATGATCAGGTCTATGAATTATGAAAAGACAAAAAAAAAGTTAAAATGGTAAGTTTTGCGCTATCATAAAACATAAATGTTTGTACCCAGACCAAAGGTTCTTTTTTTTAAAAAAAAAATCTTTTTAAAATCACAATCGCTTGTCCAAATTTAAATAAGATTTTAAATAAATACGTTTTGAACATCATAGTTTAATAATATGATCTGTTCTGATTGTTTATTGACAATTTTTCTTAAGTATAAGCTCTTCTTTGGTCGGAAATCTAGTATTTTTTTTTGTGAAAATTGATAGAAACTTTGTATTTTGACAACTATTTATAGTTAATATACGTCAGAACGGATTAGAACTAGGATCTACAGTGGGCTAAAGCACTTATTAAATTTTTTTTAACTAAGTTCATGATAACACCGATGAGTGCAGGAAATCTAAAGACTCCAAAACGGTGTCTTTTAGATTCACTATTAGGGATCGTAAAAAGGTTTTGGAAATTATATTAAAGAAAAAAAAGTTTCTTTAAATATTAAAAAAAACCAGAAGCAAAAAAAGTTATAACATCTAAAGCTCTTGTTTCGCATTTTTTGTAAAGTCAAGACCCGAATTCTTTAAATTTATTTAAACCGTTTATACTCAATTTCTTATAATAATTTGCGATAGATAAATAATTTAATAGGTTTATTATGTTAAATAATTCTTTTTAATATATTATAGCAAAATTTATTGTTACTTATACACTATTAAAAATGAACTTGATATTCAACCACTTGATATTCAACCACATATTTGGGTCAGGATTTAAAAAAAAACGCAAAACGGAAAAAAGTTTTAACCGAATAATTTGTAAATCGCATTTACTCAAGGCGTACTTAAATAATAGGCCTTCTCATCGCGCAACGGCTTTAAAAAAATGCGGAAGATTTTTTTTGTTTTGTTTTGATGCTCTCAACTATTAAACTATTTTTTTATTTAAGTTTTAAATATCCCGGTGGGAAATGAGCTAGCGACTAGCTAGCTTTATAGCGATTTTCAAGCGATTTTTATTTTCTTATTTTATTCTTTACTAATGTCTCTAACATCTTTAAAAATTCGATTTTTAGTGTTGAATCTATTTTAATTATGAGAATAATTGAACTTTAAACATTGCGATTTTGTAGCAATGTGTCGCTAGCTACATATCGTAGCTTTATAGCTAGCTACAAAATATCTACAAATCAAAAGCTGGTTGATAGCTCCATACCAAAATTTTTTTGATAGCAATTTTATTACGATATGACGGTAGCTACAATAGCCTGTGAGTCTTTAGCTTATTAAGCTAGCTGTCCTCGTAGCCAAAACGTTGTCTTTGTCTTTACAAATATCGATAGCTTTTTGCTAACTTTAAAAAGCTAGCGATCCTCGTGGCCAAATCGCTGTCTTTATCGTAACGATTATAGCTAGCTATTCGCTAGCCGACTTCCCACCGGGATCAATTTAAAAATTATTTTAACAATATAGTAGGAGCTTGTGGTTTGGTTGTTTCTCTAAATGCATCACCTGATTAAATAAAAAACTAAGGATAAGGTGAATATAAGCAGGGTGGCCACATAAAATTTTTATAAGAAAAAGAGAATATTAGAAGATTTTAGAGGAGATTTTGCATTAAATTTAGAGGATTTTTTTTGCAAAACTACAAAATTTTGAATAAAAATAGAGGATTTTATAGGAATTTTTTTTCAAGGTTTTACGCCTGTTTCCACATAACTGGGGTTTGGACAGGGGTCAACAATGTAATTATTTTTAAGATGACATGGATTTGCTAAAATTGATTTTTTACAACCCAATTCTCATTTCAGGCTTTACGCATTTTGCAGACCATGAATTTTGAACATTATACTACCATCAAGAAATAAAAAATAATAAAAAAGAGGAGTTGAAGAGAAGATTTTATGATATTTTTAACTTTTTAGAGGATAATAGAGGATTTTAGAGGAGGTTTTTGAAAAAAGAGGACTTTTGAGGATTTTAGAGGAGCTTTGACCACCCTGATAAGGCCATTGTTTACTAAATAATATTTTATCTTCTTATAAAGAAGTCAATATTTTTATTACAAAAACGTTTATAAAACATAAATGTAACTTAAGAATACCCATTCACAAAATGTATCACTGGATATTTTCCATTTACTTTACAATAAAAAATTTCCAATTTACTATACAATAATTTCCAATTTACTTTACAATAAAAAATGATACAAGAGTAAATAATAATTTGAAAAAAATAACTTATAAAAGAAAAATAAATAAATTTTCAATTCAAAATTTTAAAGACACACTATCGGCAGTAGATTGGGTTAAAGTGTATCAAGAATGTAACCTTGGTAACACAAACTCTGCATATAATACTTTTACAGATATTTTTCTAAAGCACTTTAATAATCATTTTCCAATCAAAGAAAAAGAAATCAAAGTAAAATATTTGAGCTGACCATGGATCACAAGCGGTATTAAAAAATCTTCATAAAAAAAAAAAAACTATACGTTAAATATTTGAAAAACAGAAAGGAGATTAACCTATCTACTTATAAACAATACAAAAATCTTTTCGAAAAAATCAAAAAACATTCTAAAAAAATTTATTACTCTAAATTACTTAAAGAAACAAATGGAGACATGAAAAAAACATAGAACATTATGAAAGAAATAATCGGGAAAAAAAAACAAAAAAACAAATAGTTTACCAGAC